ATTCAGCTTTGCATGACAGGAATAAATTACATTTTAAAATATAATCAATAAATAAAATAGTTATTTCAAATTGTAATAATATTTCACAAGATTACTGTTTTAACTATTTTTCATCAAATAAATGCAGCCTTGGTGAGCATAGGAGACTTCATTGAAAATATTTAAAAAATTGTGTTTCCAAACTTTTGATAAGTCCTATATACAGTCAAACCAAATGTATTCAGACAACTTCAACATTTCTCACATTATCAGTTTATTTGCTATCGTTTAGAAAATGACAAGAACTCAGAGTTAAACTGTGTCAGAACAAATTCATCTTGATAATGTCAGATAACTTTGATAGCAGGGGCGATTCTAGGATTTTAATTTTAGGGGGGCTCAGCCCCCAATGAGAGTATAATCATAAAAAATAAATAATATAATGTTTGACTAATAGGTTAGGGTGGTATTCTAAACCTATTGCAGTATAGTAAGGGATTACTGTTCATTTTTAGGTAATTTAATTACAGTTACTTCTAAAGTACTACTGTTACATACTGTAAATAATTTCAGCAGTTCTAAAATCAATATTAAATTTGAAATCTAAATTTATCGTCTAAAGGTAAAATTGAATGCAGCGTCTTTAATCCTCTGCCCGCCGGCGCGTTCACTTGCAGTATTTTCTGATAGAGAAAATAACCTAATATAGCCTACTCTGATACAGATAAGACTGCTAAATGATCATTTTAGATAATCGAATCTAAAAAGGGTCTACTTTGATATGTGTACACTGACAATAACAACAAAACGTTTTGCTTTTGTAAAATAAAGAAAACAAACAAGGTGCACTTTCTGCCGTCTCTGTCTCCGTGAACTTCTGATTAAATTTGATTTAATCTGAAACGCGTCACAAAAATGAACCGAAACTCAGCGAATACTTGACACACACACAGCCATGAGAAATATGACTATAGAAAGCTTGAGGTGTCTACTTTTAAATGAACCAATTCACATAGAAAACAAAATATTCTCTGATTATGTAATCCGTATAAAAAACTAAAGCGAGGAACAGTCTTTCCCGTCTCTGAGCTCATTATCTGCAGTCACACCTGTGCACAAACACCTAGATACAAAAATAGATTTAAATAATAATAATAATAATAATAATAATAATAATAAGATTCATCTATACTTATCATCGTTTTTGGAAGAAGACCTGCTATGAGGAATAAGCTGGAATTTACCTCAGAAAACAGCACGATCTGACTGCTTTATTCAGCGGAGGATATAATTTCTGTAATTTATTATTTTTACATAAACTTATTTTACATCTTGCCAAACTTAAATGTGTGCAAGGGAGTGCAATATGTTGAAATATATGCATTCAGATTTAGGCTTTTTATTTTACTATAGCCTATAACTTTTTTACTAGGCTACATATAATGTCGAACGAAACGAGGATGTTTTTTTTTTGCTATCATAATAAAAATATGATTTATAATATGATATAGATATATAAAGTAATGGGAATGTTTACACTGCACCATGATGAATGTTACATAAATATTTACTTCAGTGTTTACTGATCTACTATCAGATGTCGATGTTAATAATGTGCTAAGCAGTAAGTATTTAGTTTACAAAATATCAGAATGTTGATTATGTACTGTATGGTAATACAAGCATATGTGCATGAATGACCGTACAAAATCTTGTTTTTGTAAGGAGTAGGCAAAATTAGTATTAGTGACTGCCAATACATGTACAGTATGTCAGTGTGTAAGAAATATTGTAGGCTACTCATTGCTTTGAAAAATGTAATGCCTACAGCTTGATACATGCAATGTTTAACTTTTCTTGAGTTTTTTTTATTATTCAGATATTTTGCAGAGTAATTCTATTTGTTAACCAAAGAAGGTTACATTTTTTGTTAAAATGTTTAAGTACTACATTTGTTTTAAAACTAAAACGCTAAACTATTCCACGTTTGACACAAATTGAAAGAATAAAGAGTTTAATTTTTGTTGTCTCTGCTTTAAAGTTTATAAGGATTTTAACTAAAATTACCGATTTAAATAATTAAGTTACTTATTGAGTAACTAAATTACTTTTCAGACAGAGTAATTAGAAAAGTAATTTAAATACAATATTGATGATGTAATTAGTAATGAATTACTTTCTAAAAGTAACTTACCCATCACTGGTATTGGATTACAATCAACCAAAAATTATTCAGCTGTTAAATTTAAGTACACAATTAGATAATACCAATTTAGGTCAACCAATTACCAAGCAATGCTTAATTTTGTTCAGTCTGTGGTGTAAAAAGGTCGCATTAGCAATTAAAGAAAAAAAACTTCAGCAAAACTTGGTCAGGTCAAAGTGTCTGAATAATTTTTGGTCCCAAATTTTTTTCAATTTTTACTGGTAGTCCACTATATGAATAATTTTTGGGTATAATATGTCCTGACTTACATAAATGAACTATAGTGTCCTGCACCCACTAGTAAAAAAAAATATCAAAAATTATATCTGGTGTCTGAATAATTTTTGGTTTGACTGTATGTAGGCCAAAAATATGCAGCCAAAATGTATCAAAAATATTCTTTAAATCTTTTTAAATAAATAAAGCGTAAAGTTTAAAGTGACATAACATAACTTGATTAAAGCAGTGAAGCTGGCATTATTTTGTCTGTAAGTTGCTATCTAGCACCAATAGTGAATGGGGCTGTCACTAGTACTCTGGAACTCAATGACATTCAGAAATGTCCCAAAACTGCAATGAGAAAAGAGACTTGGAGGGGTTTAAGGAAAAATCGATTTGGACCAAGCAATTGAAAACAGAACGAAAACAGCCTAGAAATCTTCTGTTCGTACTAACCTTATAGAGGCAAAGGTCGATGACCTGGGAGCAGACCTCTCTCAGGTCTGTGCAGACACGCAGTCGGCTGTGTATGAAGGCACAGAGCTCTTCATTAGTGACAGTGTCCCACACACCATCGCAGGCCAGAACCAGAAACTCATCTGCTTGCGAGCGCTCCACAGCAGACACTTCCGGCTCTGGTGATACCATCTGCTCCGTGACCGGCCGCCACTCAGCTGTCTTGTAACTGAAGTCCCCCAGCGCTCGGGAGACTGCCAGCGAGCCGTTCACGCGTTGCAAAGTCACCGATCCTCCAGCGTTCTCTATCCTCTCCCTCTCGCCGGGGCTGAAGGGCTTGTGGTCTTCCGTCGAGAAGGCCACCCGTCCCGCACGGCACAAGACTGCCCGAGAGTCCCCACAGTTCACAAAGTAGATGTGGTGTGGAGTGATAGCGGTGGCAACGACAGTCGTCCCTCCGCGTTCCCAACCCTCACGGCAGGCCATGGCATGAAGGTGCTTGTCCATGAGAAAGAAGCCCTCCTTGATGCCCTCAGTGACCCTTACTACATCCTCATCTGCTCGGATCTTTCCTGAGAGGGAATAGCTTGTGTCACTAAATAACCAACAAGGCCTTTTGGTGACTTCAAACAGATCACATTTGCATGTTCGCAAACGACGAACCTAAAGGCTTCATTAGAGCAGATTGCAAGGATCAACCATTATGCAACTTCTAATTGCTTTAGGAGCATGTTGTACACCACTATTAACTTGTCAGATCACGGCTTAATTGGGTAATAATGTTGCTGTGGCTTTGGATGTACAGTAGGTCTACAAATTAATCCAATCTGATGAGATCCTCTTGGATCTCTTCTAAAGAGATCAATATGATTTCCCACGTGATCTAATTTCTGTTTCTCATCAAAAGCCACTCAGTTATTACTAGGTTTGCTGTGCTCTCAAATGACTATTGATGTACAAATATGAGCAGTATTGGGGAGTAACTAGTTACATGTAGCAGAATTATGTAATTTAATTACAAAATAAATGCAACTGTAATCTTTGTAATCAATAAGATTTGATTGATTTCTTTCCCAAAATTGCATTGACACCAATGTTTCCAGAGTTTAGGGCACAGAACAGGACACATGCTTATTTGATAACGGTTTAATTTCTTATTTGGTTTTATGTATATGCTTTATTTTTTAAGATTAACTGTTTTTTTTCCCCAAAGCATTGTTAGATGCCAGTGTTTCCTGTCATAGCTATGCAAAGATTTCATTTCAAAAACAGTTTCAATAGCTATTTCAAACATAGCTATTAAACTATATCTTGTTAACCTTAGAACGATCTCAAAGTAAAAAGGTGCTAAAGTCTGATTTTGTGGCAGTTGCGCTTTAAAGTTAAATTATTATAATCTTAATTAAAGTGATGAAGGATTTTGAGAAGTCTGACTGTAATCAGTGTTGAGTACTACTGTAAGGTTAACCCTGCCTGCTTTAAATGTTTGAAAATGATTAATAGTTGAAAACATTTGTTAGAAAAGTAATCAAATGTAATCAGTTACATTACTTACAGTAATTGAAATAGTTGCACTATTTATTAAATTTTAAATAGAGTAACTTGTAATCTGTAACCTATTAAATTTCCAAAGTAACCTTTCCAACACTGAGTATAAGCCAAAAAGATGCCAGAGGTCCTGCTGTTTGTAGGACAGCTTGCTGCTCACCTGTGCCCAGGATGTGGTCCAGCAGGTTTCGGGAGCAGTGTTGGGCCACCGCGCTCCCTGCGTGTCCATCATACACAGCGAAGAACCCCCAGTGGGCCAGTTCCCCTCCTAGCTGAGGGTAGCAGTTGTGGAAATCTTCCATGTGGGCCCTCCAACCCTGCATGCTGGCCAGGGCATAGGTAAGTCCCCAGGAGGCACAGCCCTCTTGCATGTGCTTGTCCAGAACCGGTCGGTCCAAGTAGGGGCTAGTGATGACCCCTTCCTCCTCTCCTCCCTCTTCGCCTTCAGACAGCTCCCCTGCGCCTCCCCCTCGTCCCCCTTTAAAAAAGGAGGTGACGCTTTTCTCGTTCTCCTTCACCAGCTGCCTTACAAAAGCAGGCATTTCCACACTTCCTTTCCTGGATGTCCTCATGATGTCTTTTATCTTCACTTGTTCAAATCCGTTCACGGCCTCCACCCTGTGCTGTAGCTCGCTGGCTTTGGTTCGGCTGAGCCTTGCTGCTCAGGGCCTTCACAGCATTATCTCCCGAGAAGCTGATTCTGCACCTTGAAGCATCCTCGAGTGATCTGATGTAGAACGGTTGATTTTCCCTTCTGTCACTCTATACCCATTGCTAGACATCTCACTGAGATCTAATCTTTCTGTACTCATAGTGGCTCTTTCCAATTTGATCCACTTTTGTTGCCTTCCTCCTCTATATGTCAGTGATATTCCCTCTCTCTAAGCTTTCTCTCTGTCTGAGCCCGTTATTTTCCTGTCATCGCTCTGACTGGCTGAGCTATTTCTGTGCACCAATCATCTCGCAGTGTCCTCCCTCTTGTTGTACACACCGACATGCAATCCTTTCGCAGAGTGTCTCTCTCTCTTTCACATGTTCAATGCATCTCTCTCTCTCTCTCCCTCTCTCCCTCCCTCCCTCGGTTTCTCCTCTTGAACTCCCTCTGTTAATCATCTCTGCTGAACATTTGATAATTTTGGATTACCTAACATGTACAGATTAATGTGCATAACAGATTTTCACAGCAGCCCAGTAAGAGAGAAAGGCTGAGAGAGAAGGCACAAAGTACACTCTGCTTAAAAATATTATGTGAGGGAGATTCAGTGATTCATATTAAAGAACATGGTTCGCCTTGAGCAGAATTCATGAATGGCATATTCAAATATGAACTTGGGAGACTCTAACAAAGGTTGATTCAGACAGATTAGCGGATTATGTAAATCAAAAATGCATTCATAAACATTATTACATAACAGGCTATTTTTGTCTTTTTAACTCTTTTTGTGGTTCCATGGAATGACGCAAACAAAAATGGCTCATGAATTTGAGCAGAATTTGTTTGATGGCAGAATGATCATTAAATCAGATGCTTGTAGTACTGACTCATCTGCTGGGCCAAGCAGCCTGGAAAAAAAAAAAACACAAAATGAAGAAATAATAACAATAGTATTATTATCATGATTACAAAAATAAAATAGTTAATTTCAATTCAAATGAAGTTTAGATTTTTAAAAACATTTAAATTTTTTCTAGTCTTTTCATAAATTCTTTCATCATTTTATATGATAATTTTTGTATCATCTTATATTACTTATATCATCATAAATTATATAAGAATGATAATAAATGATGCATTATTAATTCTACTAACTATTATTGTTGTTATAAATTAAACAATATAATTTTATTTTTTAAATATTATACAAATTATACTGAAATTATCATTTATAGTATTATAGAACTGTACATATAATTGTACACACACACACACACACACACACGTATTCTTATCATTATGGGGACATTCCATAGGCGTAATGGTTTTTATACTGTAAACTCTATTTTCTATCCCCTTACCCTAACCCTACACACCTACCCCTCACAGGAAAATTTCTGCATTTTTAGATTTTTAAAACACTTCATTCTATATGATTTATAAGCTTGATTCTTCATGGCAACCTAAAAAATGTCCCGACAAGGTCAAAATTTGTTGGTATTACTATACTTGTGGACACATTTGGTCCCCATAATGTAGTGAATACCAGTGCACACACACGCACACACTTCACACACACATCTTCAGCTGGGTGTTAAAGGCCAGCACTTTTCACAGCATGGGAGAAGATAAAGCACAGCACTCTTTGAGGAACGTCTGAGTAATTTGCTTGGATCTAAGGTTAGCCATCTCCCTCGAGATGAAGACTTGTCTACACACAGACACATGCTGACGTCTCAGGTTCCTTAAGCTCTGAATGGGCCATGAGGGAGGATAGCTGTGTGTGTGTGTGTGTATGCCGACAAGGTCAAAATTTGTTGGTATTACTATACATGTGGACACATTTGGTCCCCATAATGTAGTGAATACCAGTGCGCACACACTTCACACACACATCTTCAGCTGGGTGTTAAAGGCCAGCACTTTTCACAGCATGGGAGAAGATAAAGCACAGCACTCTTTGAGGAACGTCTGAGTAATTTGCTTGGATCTAAGGTTAGCCATCTCCCTCGAGATGAAGACTTGTCTACACACAGACACATGCTGACGTCTCAGGTTCCTTAAGCTCTGAATGGGCCATGAGGGAGGATAGCTGTGTGTGTGTGTGTGTATGTGTGTGTGTTCATAAAGATGGGGTGTCCAAGTGGTTGAGATATTATTAGGTCAGGCCAACCCCTTCCCGCTGACAACGCTAGGATGGCCAAAAAAAGCCCAGAGGGTTCGTGGAGCGCTGGGAGGAGAGGGGGTTTGGTGTGGAAGCAGCAGAAATGGCCAGCAAAGGTGAGAGTCTTCCACGAGCTCTCCTGGGCTATATTGTTTACATGTGTAATGTGCTGGTACGTGAATAGCAGGTTGGCAGAAACTGAGTGAGGTGGCGAGGGGGGAGGTTAGGAGATCGGATTGAAGTTGAGTGGTGTACTCTAGAGGTATAGTAATACTGCTGACTGGTCAGCACATCACTCAGGACTTCCCAATGGGTGCTTGGCAGGCCGATGGAAATCTGATGGATGGACTGCCTCCAGGATCCGACCGATGCATGACTCTAGGATTTTGAGGCAAAAAAGGAGGCATTGATGTCTGAACGAAGGAGGTTAGATCTTCGCTCAGTCTTATTTTGGCAGCGCTGGCAGACGTCTCCCCAGAGAGATTCAATCTGACCCGGCCATGTTAGGCTGCAATAAAGTGCTTTAGCAGGAGTGAAGGCCATGTGGTAGATTTTATGCAGAGAAGATTTCAGAGGGTTTGGATTGATCTGATAAAGGCTCGTTCAGCTTTGCACCAGTGTGCGCCACAGCACAGATTTGCACCTGCGTTTGGAGGATAATCAGAATCAACAGCTGTTGGGGTCTATTGGCTTCACAGGGGAAGGGGCGTGTAAATGCACACTGCCATTAGCTGTTCCACTGTGCTTGTGTCCATGCACTCTCTGACATGAAAGCTTCTTGTCCATTTATGTCATGTTTGTCTCAGAGATGTAACATTTGCACTAAATTACAGCAATTTTAGCAACTTACGCTCCGATTGCCAACAAAACACAGAAATTTTATGCAGTTTTACTCACCGCCTGCATTTCCCGCTCATGACCAGGATATTTTATCAGTGGGGCCGCTCTATCTTTCAGTATCAAACGATCTGCAAATCCAGCGTCAAACTGGGCCTTGTTTATAAAACATTCATTACTGAAATGACGGGAACAAACAAGCACACGTGCAAAACTCCATTGCTGTCCTGGAAAAACAAACTGCATCCACTGTTCCCTTAACGCTGGGTTCTTTGGGAAGCTGAACAAGCTTATCTTGACTTTCCCTCACATCCAAAAACACACTTCTTAGGAGACATTCTTCTCGAGCAAGTCCTGTGTGCAGCGCTGCCGACAACTTCCGTAACCTGAAGGAAGCACGTTGGAATTCCAAGGAATTCCACTCTTCGTGACGTCATGAAGAGCCATGCTCGAAAAAGAACGTTCCGAAACTTATTCGAACCCGGAAGGAGTGTATTTGGCACTGAAATACTCCGCCATACGTTCAAATCGTTTTTTTTTTTTTTACTTTGGCCATGTTTAGCATGAGAATCCAACTCTTTAACAGTGTAAATAACTCAGAATGCATGAAATAGCATTAGACCCCCCCCCTTAAAATTGTATATGCTATTAATTCTAAAGTGAATTAATTCAACTAAAGTTTGTAGATCAACTCAAAGATTTGATGAAAATCTGCATTTGTAATTTAGTCTGTTTTAAAATAGTCTGAAAAATAGTCTGTTTTACCACAAAAATGACCAGATACCCTGCGCAAACATGCATACTGTATCTGACCACCCAAATGCTCCACCACACATCCCCCCTGTGTCTCCCTTTAAGACCGACTTCAAAGCAGTGCTGCATGGTCATTGCATTTCTCCCTCAGTCTTTTTTTCTCTATCTTTCCATCACTCTGCCTCTTTATGTTTATTTCCCTGACATTTCACGCATTCATTTTTCTTACCCTCTCTAGTGTTGGATCTGTTATACTGGCGAGATGTGGGGACCACCGGGCTGGTGTTTACAGGTTTGGTTGTGGGTTTGGCTTGTTTGTTCCAGCTCAGTGCCATCACGATCCTGTCCAACCTCGGTTTAGGCATTATGGCCTTCACTCTCCCTGTATGCTTGCTCTACAAAGCCATGACACTTGTCCGCCTCAGTGATGGATCTCATCCTTTTCAGTGAGTATGCTGTAAAACAAATATGTTTTTACATATATTTAACCCTAAAGGTGTAACTAATTCTGCTGTTTACAGTAGATGGAGTAGTAGCAGAAGTCTTGTCAGTGTTTGCGTCGATTAGTTTTAAAATCACTTATTCATTCAACAACGAAACAAGTGCAATTGTGGTGTGCTATGAAAACAACAACAATTGTGTGATATTGCTTATAAAGTTACAGACCCCCAGTCTGCCCTATTTGCAAGCTGGTTTCAACGGATGAGTTCACTCATATATCAAGTTGATCATGGGTTAAAATATTAATTCTTGAGATGCATAACAGATGTGCAGATTTAAAACAAATAGTGAATGATTTGGCAGGAGCTCGATGGAGGGAAAAGCAACTCAAATAAGTCTGGCTTAATACATGTAATCTTTCTCAGCTGGTCCACTTTTCTTTATTAAAAAGGTCATATTTGGATGAGGACCGTACACTGACAGATGAGGACACAGTTCGCATAGCGGAACAAATTGTTCTGCTGATTGCTACGGCTGTCACCAAGTTGAAGAGGCTGTTCTTCATCGATAGCATCATGGACTCAGTGAAGGTCTCACACGCGTCTTAAATATCTCACCTCAGCTACACCGAGCAGTTTTCGCGCTTTTACTGCAATTTATAGCCTACTTTCACCACATCAGGGGATACTACTCTCTTACGTAATTAGTCCTGATATGAACTATTACCATGTGCTTTCATTCCCAAAGGCAAAGGTTCTGTGAAAATAAGCACGTGTGAAAGTAAAGAAATTCGAAAAATTGACCTTTATTATTATAAGAACATAATGTTCCTGGTACAGCAGGGTGCTAGCCATAGATTCAAAGTCCCAGCAAACACAAATACCGATAAAAATACTGTATATAGGCTACCTTCAATGCACTGTTAATGTCTTTGGATAAAAGCACAATGAAAAAAAATTTTCATTCATCCAATTAAAAACATGTAGGGTAATGATTCAGATCTATATTTTTTAACTTGAGCCAATGAAAAATAAATAACTAGTCCTTAGTGCATCTAATGTAACATCTAAATGTAAATAGGATTACAAAATCTAAAGTAAAATGATTTAAAACCAAATATAATGATTTTATCTGAATGATTGTATTTTATTTGTTTGTGTAGTTTGTTGTGTTCCTGTATTTGTTGACCTATGTGGGGGTCCAAGACAATGGTCTTACGCTGTTGATGACCGGTAAGGATATCCTGTTTAAATTTGTAAAGATTTATCACAAATCACAGCTGACACTATTTTTGACCTAATGTCAGTGACTAAGCAGAGTCAGAGTGATGTGGATCATACTTCATCAAGTATTACTGCTTTGTTGTGATGATACATGATATTAACGTACAGTAATTCATCACCTTTGAACAGGTGTGATATGTGCCTTCTCTCTGCCACTGTTGTACAGACTTCAACAGGTAAGTGTGTGCCTCATTTGACTTTACACACAGGCCTATATTCAAAAAAAGAAAAAAGAAAAAGACAAATTGGGGCTATTTATGTATTGGTCAAAATGTGTTTAGACATTTCTGTATTTTCCTAACCAGAAATGCACTTATTATCAGATCTCACTTATGCACATATAACCATAGGCTATATCAGACTTAGCACTTATTTTTGTTTTCATTTTTGACAGAAAAGGATTGACAAGATTGCCAAAGCAATCAAAAAACTTGTAGAAAAAGGCACCGAACTGTAAGTCTTCATCATTCTGACATGAGCCATAATGAAAACGATTCAAAGTGAGGCAGGGAAAAAATAATCAAGCTTACATCTTGAAGGAATAGTTCACCCAAAAATGAAAAATTGCTAAAAATTTATTCATTCTCAGGCCATCCAAGGTGTAGATTAATCTGTTTCCTCATCAGAAAAGATTTGGAAAAATTTTGCATTACATGACTTGCTCACCAGTGGATCCTCTGCAGTGAATGGGTGCCGTCAGAATGAGAGTCCAAACAGCTGATAAAAACATTACAGTAATCCACACGACTCCAGTCCATCAATTAATGTCTTGTGAAGCGAAAAGCTGCATGTTTGTAATAAACAAATCCAAGGTGTTTTAACCTTAAACTGTCATTTTTGGTCAAACTAATGTATAATCCATAAAAACGCTTGCTCCAGTGGAAAAAGTCCACCCCTGCTGGACATCAAAATCATATTTGTCTATAACTGTTTTGGACTGTTTTCACTAGTAAACGGTATTTGAACTGATACTTTAGCTGGAAGAAACAGTTTGAAGCTAAAAACATCATAATGATGGATTTGTTTATTACAATCACACAGCTATTCACTACACAAGATGCTAATTGGAAATGGACTGGAGTCGTATAGCTTACTTGGACTCTCATTATAGTGGCACCCATTCACTGCAGAAGATCTATTGGTGACATAATGCTAAATTTCTCCAAATCTGTTCCAATGAAGAAACTAACTAATCTACATCTTGGATGGCCAGAATCAGTAAATTTTCAGCAATTTTTGGGTGAACTATTCCTTTAAGTCTAATTGAATCCAAATGTTTGATTTCTCCCTGCAAAGAAACAAATGATAATCAAGCCACATTCGTTATGACTTCAATTAACTACAACAACCATGGTTTACTTTCTTGAATTTATAATATGTTCTCCACTTCTCTTTTCTAGAGTTGATCTTGTGATTTCACTGGCCAAACCTCCACCAGCCCCAGCCCCAGCCCGTTCCCCTGCCCCCACAGCAAAACATAAACAGAAGACTAAATGAAGTGGAGGGAGAGAGAGAGAGAGAGAGAGAGATGGGGGTGAGGAGCAGAAATGTGGAGTACATTGAACAAACAAAGTCTTACGCTGCAGCTGTAGCCCTGCGAGTTCAGCAGGGTCGGGGGTTTGGGGGTTATGAACGAGCGTTATGTTTTACGGTACGTTTCTTACAGTGCTAGGAGATTCTTCAACAGGTCTTCTGAAAAGAATTAAACAACAGGCTTCTTCTTGAAGCACACTTCAGTCAAGAGAAGTCCAGGTGTATGTCTGATGTATTCATTTAACTCAAACTGTCAAACAGCTGTGTAATATTTATAATTATTGGTTCATTTTGCCTGACAAGGCTTTTTTTCTACTGATTTTCATAGAAAAAGTTGAACCTAGTGACAGTTGCTAGTATATTTTTGTCCACTAGAGGGTACAATGAGACCATACAATCACAGCAGTTCTGGGTCAGGACAGCATGTTGCAGAAATTCTGTCATGTAAATTTGTTTAATTAAAAAAAAAAATTACAATTCCCACTGGGATTGTGCATATAATTTGGGTTTTAATATTTAGTACTTAATGTTTCAAATTACAGAGCAATTCAAAACTAATTTAAGTCACTTTAAAACAAGTCATGTTTTGCTTCCCGGACTTTGTACGTCTTTTGTGCAACATGACCCCCAGTAAACACATGTTTTCAATGTTATTTGCCTTTTTTGTAGCCTATCTGACAACATACAAAACATCACATCATATATTTTCGGCCTTGCACAGAAATGCTTCTTTTGTGGGAAAGAAGCAGCTGCTATGGATGGAAACTCCTTCGAGAAGAGTCCTAGGAGTGGCAATTTCAAAACATTCAGTTACATACTGTTTGCAGATGACATTCTAATGCTATAAAGAAACAAATATAGGATGCCTTCTGATGTGCAAATTCTTCCATGCCAGAATGGTGATAAACACAATCTGGTAATTGTCTTCACAGGCTTTTAAGAGAGTATCTGTAACCATCCATAAAAGGACATTGCTTCAAAATTTATGGAGGAAACTGTTTAGAAAGCACAAAAAGAACATCTCGTACACTACGGGAAGACAGTTTCATGCGCGCTGCAGGAACACTCAGGGATGTAAGGAAAAATAGCAATACTCCACTGACAAGAACAGTGGCACTCGGAGGAACATTTTGTATTCATTGCCGTTTTAAATAACCTACTACAGACTTTCTTCAGCTTTAAACTGCCCCTGTGTATCACTGTTTGTTATATGGCAGTAGTGGGAAATCTCTAAATGAGGATATGAGGAAAAATTATATTTTAGAAGGTTCACTTTAATAAGCTATTCAAATTTATTAAATGCCCTGTCTCATTGGATCACGGCTGAATTGTCTATCTACTGACTCGATTTCTGCAGGACTATAAGGATTGTTTCTGACTGTATTTGAAGTTTTAACTACATAATTTTGTATTTGAAAAAAATGTATATATAAAATATATTCTAGATTTATATATATAATTATGTTTTTTAAGCATAAGACAGTAAATAATTTATTTGGCTCTTTTTTTTTCAATAATATATGAAATTATGCAACTATAATGAATAACTCAATGACTCCATGAACTCCAAAACACCCTTAATTGGAAAAAGATGTAATATAATGACCTGACCATATTTTTAAATAAATTTTCATCTGCAGCCAGATAACCTTATAGTGGCCTATTAAAATAAACAGATGTTCATTGTGTTCAAGGTATAAAAGCACATAAATATGATCAACAGACTTGCTCGAAACTTTCTTACATCATCAAGCCATCCTTTCTTGAGCCACGTGTCAGTGTTTTGCCTTTTTTTTACTCTTCTTCTACTGATCCTGAATGCATAAATACACTTTTAGCTTAGTAAAGTCTATATAAAATAGAGATATATAATATATGGAACAATAGGGAAAACACAAAACTAAAGTTTGTAATTTATCATAATTTTTGACAAGCAATGTTCACACATAATCTTGTACATAATGTGAGTTAAGATTTAAAATGGCCCCCAAAATGTAAATTTTCATTCTTCACAAACAGGATCCATTTTTTTTTCAAACCCCGTGATCATGAAGCACAGAAATAAAAAGGATAATAAACTGTAATTTTGTCCATGATGACATCCTCACAGATGATTCTGCCAACACATTTTGGGATTGTGGTTGTATGAAAGCGGCGGAGGGAAATACTATCTCGAGTACGTCAGCATGAATGAGCTCTAGGCTAGCTACTTCTCGCACTTGACCAGAAACATCTGCAATGAAACGAAATAAATAACTAAACAGAAAATAACTCAATGCCTTTAAAGTGACATGAAATGAACAATCAATTGGCCATGCAATTCATCAGCAGCCATCAGACACAAACAACACAAGATTCCAGCTGAATCAGACACGGATACACACCTTGAGCCCATTAAAGAACACTAAACCGACTTCCGGTTATGGCAAGGTGCTAAGAGGTCGCAACTTTTTGGCTCTGCTACTAGTTTGCAATTAATCCTACAATACCAAACAGAATTGTGTTTAAAGTGAAACAACAGGAATATAAGAGAATAGGGAATTAAAATGTCACGCAAAGGTGGCAAAAAAGACAAGAAAAAAGTAAGAAACGAAGATGAATATTCCGAGGGTGAAGAAATTAGCGATGCCATGGCGGCTGCGGAAGATGGCCCTGACGAAGGAGATGACGAAGTATCAACTTCGGGTGAAAATAACAACCAGGATATTATGAAAGCCATAATGTCCTTGAAAAGTTGACTTTATAAGAAAATCGATGGTGTGCAAACAACAATTACGGAGGTAAGAAAGGAGATACAGGAATGCACAGCATAGCACAAGCTGAACAACGTATTTCTGATGCTGAAGACAACATTAATGGGCTAATATCCAGAGTGAGCACGTTGGAAAATACCGTCAAAACTCTTTCAAACAAAGTCGAAGATTTGGAATGCAGAAGCCGACGGAACAACGTCAGACTGGTGGGTCTACCGGAGAAAGCAGAAGGCCAGGACACGGTTTCATTTCTGGAGAAGTGGATACCGGAGGCTTTAGGAATGGAATCGCGAGGGAACTTGGTAATTGAGCGGGCTCATAGAATCGGCACTCCGACATATATCGACTCGCGCAAGACACGCCCGAGGACATTGATTATGAAGTTTTTGAACTTTAAAGATAAGGAGCGGGTACTAAGGGCAGCCAGAACCAAAGGGAATGTTCTGTATAATAACGAACAGGTCCGTTTTCATCCAGACCTCTCCGCTGGTATACACAAGATGCAACGCGACTATGATGACGTGCGTAGAAGGCTGCGAGACAAGGGGATTCATAAGCACAGAATAATCGTTCCAGCACGGCTCCTGCTGACACACGGGGAAAGATCCTACACTTTCCAAACTCCTGCTGAAGTAGACAAATTTGTCCAGTCTCTCTGAAGGATCAAGGTGAACTTACAGATGATAGAGACTAACGTTAATTACTCCATCAGGAAATTGTAACGGCATTATTGGTTGATTCATTTTATATAATTTTTCACACAGAGAATGTGACAATTCTTTTTGCTTATCATTTAACGTTAAATATTACTACATATTGTTTTCTTTTAAGTTCTCATGGCCAAATATGTGTTTGTTTTCATGGTTACAAATCATTAAAAACGGACATAGGGTGGAAGGGGAAACATGGCCATGAATCGCATTCATAAGGGACGTTCAACCCATAACGCATGGCCAACAGTATTATTTGATATTTCTTTGATATTGTCCACCCTTCAGCTCAAACCTCAGTTATTGGTTATGTGCCTGAATGTTCCAAAGTAATTTAACCCTTTAATGGTTATGTTTACAAATGTTGCATAGTTCTAATCTTTAACAAATTAAAGATTATTGGTAAGGTTGTACTCGGTAATAGCAGAGAGAGCTAAAAAGAGACAGACGGCTCTTTGTAATGTGTGGACCCGTATCGGTCATAAGCGGTTGGTATAAGGTGTGTGTTTTTTTGTGTGTTTTTTTTCTATTTTATTTTTTTCTTCTTTTTCTTGTTATATACAGGCGTGTTTCCATCAAAATATCCTATTTTATCAAAACAAATCTTAAGGATATATTATATAACTAATGACTAGTAGTTTGAAGGTGAAATTTACCTCATGGAACTGTAGGGGTTTAAACAAAATTACAAAGGTTAAGCAAGTGATGAACAGGATACAATTATTGCAATCAAAAATAATTTTCTTGCAAGAAACTCATTTATTGAGTGGGTATATTTCTAAAATAAAAAGAAGATGGCAAGGTCAGGTGTTGTCTGCTCCCTATACCACCCATGCTAGAGGGGTTATAATATTAATTCATAAATCTGTCCCACTACAAAATAAAAATATAATTAAGGACCCTGCAGGTAGATATATCATAGTTCAGGGTATGCTATTATTTAAAAATATAAATCTGATAAATGTGTATGGTCCTAATGAAGATGACCCTAAATTCTATAGCAATCTGTTTCTGACTGTCTCAAATCTTCCTGGGCAATATATAATAGCTGGTGATTTCAATTGTACATTAGATCCAGCACGAGATAGATCATCAGGTTTAGATAATACTCACACTAGATCGAGGAAGACGATAAATAATTTTATTAAAGAACTAAATTTGTTTGATATATGGAGACATAGTACACTCCTGGATCTCATTGAAACTTTTGGAAAAATATCTGGATATAAAGTGAATCACTCCAAATCATCTATAATGTTACTTAATGAATCAGAGAGAACAAATAACCAAGATTATGCTTCTATCTTCGATTCAACAGATAATTTTACATATCTGGGTATAAAAATTGTTCATGAAGATTGCTTAGATTAATTATGACCCAATTTTGGAAGCTACTACCTCATCAGTAGAACGCTGGACATCTTTACCTATCTCAATGATTGGCAGGATAAATATCCTAAAAATGAATATACTCCCAAAATTTCTCTATTTGTTCCAAAATATTCCCCTACCCCCTCCCTCATCTTTGTTTACTAGAATTAAGAAATTGTTTACTAACTTTATTTGGCAAAATAAACGTCCCAGGCTACGTCTACCTTTATTATACCTACCATTTGATCGAGGAGGACTTAAATGACTTAAATGTCAGTGGTATTACTGGGCAGCCCAATTGTGTACAATCATGTTTTATTTTTCATCTGAAAGATCTGAAAGCCGGGTGGACTTGGAATCATGTTCTATTACACCAAGATTACCATTGCACTTATACTTGTATTCGGCAGATCACAAGCACCTAAGAAAAAACACAGACAACCCTATTGTATCGAACATGATTAATATTTGGTTTGATTCTTGTAAATATTTGAACATAAACCCCTCCTGGTCACGTTTCAGTCCTATTTGGGGTAATGTTAATTTTAAACCAGGGAAATGTGATGCAGGATTTCGGATATGGGCTGAAAAAGGGTTAAGGAAAGTGCAAGACATGTACAATGAGGATGAAATATTTATGTCCTTTGCAGAAATATCAACCAAATATGGCATTCCAAAGACCCATTTTTTCAAATATCTTCAACTTAGAAGCTTTATATCCTCATCTCAAAATCATTCATTAGATATTCCTGTCATCTCCCCATTAGAGGCAGCAATCATAGGTCACTGTT